AGAATCCGATCACTCTACCACTCACCAAGAAAATGTCATCCGCGTACTCCAGGTCAGTAAGATATCTAGCTTAATAGCTTGAACTGCGCCTTCCTTCTAAAATGAACATTCGTCTTCGTCAGCACTGTTCCAAAGAAGAAAGTTGAGAACAATGTTGAAAGGCAAAGGCGGAAGCACATCTCCCTGGCGAACTCAATAGTTAATACGGAACCATACAGACAGCTATTCTTCAACCTTGACAGTAGACACAGTTCTTGTATACACCTCTTCCAAATGGAAGAATTTGGAACATGGTCGAACGGTGTATTAAATCAAATGCAGCTTTAAAGTCGAGGAAATTGGCAGAGCAAGACAACGGCAATCGTCGGCGTTGCCCAATGGTCCTACGCAGAGTGAGAATTTGATTTTCGGAGGTTAATCCCATCCGAAAGCCTGCTTGATTTTGGCGAATTCTCCCTTCAGCTGCTTGCCTCTGCCTTTGCAAGATCATCTAAAAAAGTTTCCATTGAGTTCACAATAATGGGATACCACAGTAATAATACGCCCCCTTTAATAACAGGGACAACTGCTACACATTTCCATTCTCCAGGTAAACGCTTGGAAGTTAACGTTTGATGAAACCGGACATGAAGCATTTCTACCATTCCGTTCTTCGACACTTAATTAACTCCACAGAAATTCGATTCATCACGCAAATCTTCAATTTGTAGCGTAGCAACACTTTCTGATATCGAGTTTTGTTGGCTGGTCTGCAATCTTTAGTGTTGGCAGACAACAGACAGCTGTAAATGACGAATCTAAAGGGCAGCTGTTGAGCAGCTACTGGAAATTCTCAGCCAATCATTTGAGGCGCTCATTCTGACCTGCCAATGGACATCTCAAACGTCTTGAATAAGGAGGAACGGAGTCCTCTGCTCATTAGACAACCGTGGCACGCCAATGAAGACTGTTCGCCAGCCACTCTTTCTTGTTGCTTTGTCCATTTTCCTGATTTCCCCTCGCTAGTCAAAGTGCCTTGTCCCGTCTGTATCCTGATTGACTGCACGAACCAGACGAGCTGCCTTCGAGGGTTCAGTGTAGTACTGCAAGTACTCCCTTATGCAATAAGGAATGGTGTTTTTCCGGTAATCCATCGCTATCCTTCTCCTGATCTCGACTATGTTCTTCGCTGACGAAATGACGCCTTCTCTGAGGCCTTTGTTAACTACACCAGCGTTACCATTTCCAGACTGGGCAGTACGAATGACACTCAAATGAATTTCTACCTCCTCTAGGTAGGCCGGTCGCGCCGATTCGTCATATTTTAAACTGTCAAAACTGAGTCGTCAACGACGATGTCGATGCGACATGACTACTTTTAGACGAAGTTCGGCTACGACCACATGGTAATCAGTAGCCATTGTATTCTCTACGCCTGACGCGAGTCTCGAATAATGAGGGGCACCAATTGCGGTTGAGGAAGACCTGGACCAGCCGGTGTTAGGCTTCCATCAGGGGACGTCCAAATGGTTGGAAGTATTCGCTAATGAAGGAATAGTGTCCTGCCGACAATTAAGCTATTTGTCACGCAAAAACCTAAAAGACCCTTCTCTGCCTTTGTCATTCGCGTTGCCAATGCTGCAACGACCGAGAACGCTTTGCCACGCGCTGCACGCCTTGCCATGCGTTGTATGCTTCCCCCACCATTAGGTTAAGGTCGCCTGTGAAAACTTGAAGTCGTGACGCGACAAAGCGTTAATAATCGACTACAAGCAGTTATAGAAAGCGTCTTTTAAGCTATCACTGGACACATTTGTCAGAGTATAGGCAACAGTAATACTCAGCGACTGTTGTTTGGCATTCACGTATCAGACCACGACTCTCTTAGATACATGTTTCACCGATCACCCGGTTTACCCTTGGGAACAAGAGGATACCCATACGGTGCAATCAACTGTGGCCCATCTAGCAAAATGGCCAGCCATCAAGCAAGTCATGCGTCCCCTTCCCGGAGAAGAGAACATCCGTGATCGCAAGTACGTCGGGTTTAACCGGCGGGCCGTACAGCTGACATCGTCCAACTTACCTTCGCCTGTTAAAGTACGAACGTTATTCGTCATTTGGGAACGTTCCAGTATAGCCATTGTTATCTTCTGCTACCATTTTGATGTTCGCTACTGTTCAAAGAAGCCGAAATTTCAGAAGTACGACTTAATTGCAATTTCGAGTCACTGTTTCTGAAAAACGGACATGCGGAATTAACTGACTGTACGATACAAAATTTACCAAAACTTTATTGAAGTACTAACCGGAATGTTACATTTTAGGGAACACCGGTTACAATAATAAAACTGCTTGAGAAAAACCCACCTGATTAGAACATAATATGAACTTTATTCATGCCTTCATCTTTACAGTATTCAAATCTGCAAAATTCGTGGTGTTCGTTGCTGAAAAACTAAGCAAAACAAACGGTTTTATCTTCTGAAATTCAGTTGACTAGGCGCCAACGATATAAATCTTGTCTACTTCTTTACTGAAATATGGCTACAGGCGTGATGAATTCATCATCACTAATCTAACAAGTCTAATGCCATTTTCTGTTAAAAAAGTGGACAAGACAAACGGTTTTAAACTTGAGACATGAATCCGAAATGAAACAACAGACAATACCTGTGTATTCTTGTGTTGCATCGAGTGGATCGACCCAAACGCTTATGTCAGCCAGTGAATGATGAACAGATGGCACGCCAGACACTATGCCACTTATTCGTTGCCAAAGTTCGTAATAATTCTCTTCATAACTCGCGACCTCTTCAGACGAAAGAGACTCCTTTTCCTCTGATATTACCTGAGAACGAATCAAAGCTATAAAGTGAACCAAAAAACGTACCGAAGAATGTAGTGATAAGCATAAGCAGTATCTCTGTCAACAATTATAACCATCAGAGAACCAATTTGTCCTGGTCAAAAGCCTATAAAAATCGATCCATCTAGTTCATACAGGAATCAGTCTGTTAGACGTTCCCGAATCTGCACCCTTAATCCAAAGGATATCATTTCTGGGAAAGTAGCTGAAAAATGTTCGAAACAATTCTTCTTTAAATTAACTTTATTGCAGCACTGATCCCCGTTTCTGTGCCATATGTCGAGAGTATCTTATTCTAAAGACAAAGTTTAAGCTTAGTAGCAACTATATCGTGTTGTCTCCTGTTTGCTTACCACAGTCATACTAGCTTACCGACTTCGGAAGAAAGAAAATTAACCAGTCTTATTAATGCATATCTGTTGGCTGACCCCAGCATGCGCAGAAAAGTGCAACAGGTTTGAACATGACCTCAGCTGTTAGCATCACAGACTTCATACAAAGCATTAAAAAATTTTTGTTGCTTTCCAAGTATCATGGAAGAAACTTAGCATTCGTTACCACAGTCTCAAAGAACGGATCATTTTAAGTTTCGATCGATACTCGAAATTAGATACGCCAAGGGGACATTAGCAGCAGAATTACTATAGCCATTGCTTTGAGGAACTCAATCCAATTAAAACGTCATTCTGCGTCCATGTTTTAATATCCACACTTTGATCATATACTCAGATGACGACCCATCTCTCTACCGCATGGCGATCTATGAATGAACGACACTAGCTGCAGCATGCATGTTAATTCGCAGTCTAAACCTTGTGCTGATTTTTAGTCGACTATAAGATGGATCAAGGCGAGCTATAGCAGTAAAACACATCAGACAGCACGACCGTATGTCAGCTATAATGTGGCATGACCACACCAGAGTACGTCTCAACTGCTAGCCCCGCAAGTTCACAACGTGGTATTCGTTTCTCTGTTACTTGCACAATGAGACGAACTCGCTGCTCAAAAGAATTAGCCGCTAAAAGAAACTTTTAATGTGAGATGAGATTCGAACCTTAAAGTGAATGAATCGATGTAAAGAAGGAGAATGCAACGATGTGGTCCCCACTGCTCTGCAATGGCGCTAATCCTTCTGGCCCAGTAACTTAAAGTACACTAACGTAACAACACTGAATTTCAAGTTATGGCACCACAACAATAAAACGAACAGTAAGATACGGAAAATTATGCTTAGCGACGCACATACATGAACGGCACATACAGGCATTAGACACATTTGGGGTGGATTCAGTAACGTTTAAAAAGGAGAAGAAGAGGAAAGCTTGTAACCGTTGCAATGTTGGTCTTCCTTGCACTTACATGATGGGGCCAATTCTAGCACAGTGTTGGAGGCTCTGATCACCATTTACATATCACCAGCCCGGAGCATCTTAGCTTTTAAATGCAGAATCGAAAACAGTTATGTGATCAGCATAGTCTACATTCTTCTGTGTTCTTCCCGTTCAACTAACAGAGTTGTATTCATTTACCAAACTCGGAAGGAAGGAATGCGAATGACCCCGACCGGGGTGCGAACCCACTAGCTCTCGATTCTGAGTCCCACGTTCGACTGATCCAGTAACCCCGGTCCGAAACAACATGGGTGAAGTTCCTTGATCAGAGGAATTCGTGATAAAGACAAAGATTGTCAGCTACGGGAATCGAACTCGGCACTCCTGGAATTGGAGTTCAAAGCCGACCTTTCACGCACTTTTCACTGTTACACTACGCCGCAAGTTCTTTCAAATGTAACGTTTAAGCCACCTAAGGAACCATGAACCTCCTGAAGCTTACTACGACAGTTCGGACTTATCTCCTAGAATTGGCTGCAATACATACAGACATACTTTCTGCGACGATCACAATTCGAAGTAGATATTTTCTTTCCTAAGCAACCATGAATGAACAAGTTTATTGCTTGAATGGGATCGCCAATCGGAATTCTGTTTTACAGCAAAAAATAGAAAAACAAAATCTACGTACGTAACACAAAAGAGAATTGCATTTGTACGATTAGAGCTAACAAAACGAATCAAATACCAACAAATGGTCGGTGAAACCAGTATGGAACCACAAAGCAAAAGTAACAGAGCCAAACTGAATGACTGTGTCACACTGAGCAAATTCAAGTATTGTCATTTAACGTCAGTGGAACTTCGTTGAAAGTGCGCCTAGGCTGGGATGATAAATATTAAATACAGCGCAATTCTGGCAAAAGCACTGAAGTACCTAGATCTAGCTGATGAAGTTCGCGAAAGATATTGCGAGCGACTGTCACGCAGTAGATCAGTGCTATTTCTCCTGATGTTCTTCTCAACGGGAGTGAAATCAGAGATCGTCAAATGAACCACCTGACTCAGCAACCATTGTGCGAAAGGCCACTGATTCTAAAGACTAGTCTCATTGAACGACGTGAAGTAGCGTGCCATCAGGCTTGGAAAAATGACTGCAGATGTATAGGTGGCAAAATCCATGCAAAGACCAATGTTACAATGGAATCTTGCGGTGCGCAAACGTTTTTCAAATGCTGCGATAAATAAAGCCCTACGAGTCACCCCTCACCTAGTCGCAGATGACAGTTCGTGCACAAGCCAGGTAAGGTCAGATGGCACAGTGGCACATAAGTATCTAAGTTTAAGATAAACTGACTACACCGCTATTTACAAACAGGGAATGCTGCGGAACAGAAGTGTTGAATTCTTCATATTTCGTACCAAATCGATCATTTAGATCCATTCATGCAAAACTGACATACCGGAACAATCACTGAGATTTTGATAAACGCATTTCGCAACTAAAGATAAGCACCTGCCAATTTTTAGCCTTAGAGAATAAATCATATTTCACTTAAACACACTTTGGCAAGCCTCGCAGCAGCAAACTAAAGAACCAGATAAAGTGAAGATTCAGTTTCTGTTTAAACCTATGCCATGACAAATTATGTGATCGAAAGAGGAACTACTTTATTTCACAAATTAAATTATTAATTCTAATAAATAGTGCTGAATTTACAGAAAACCTCGCTAAACAGCAACAGACAGACCTTACGTTTCAAAACGCATGTTAAAAGTCACCTGAATACCCGGAAAGCGAGAGAAGATATTTTGAATCAGTTGATTTGAAATCAGATCCGCCTTCGTGACATACTCGTTCGCACCTTCCCTGGTTTTACCTTTCTCGCGCTGCCAGACTGTTGCAGATAAATGCGTTTTCCGGATGGCGGTGGAGGCTGTTTCTGCCGCAATAACGCAATATTTGATCAGCTCTCGCAGGTCAACCGTTACTTCGCGACTAATTCGATCACCTTCTCTCCATACAAGATAAAATAAATAAACAAAGAACAAGCTAACCATCAGAACTCCCAAATTTACCCATCGGCACTTCAACTCCATTGCAATACCATGTTAGATGCAGGGTTACCGTAGAATTGCGAACGTCGAATGTAAGTTGGTAACGCGAGTCGATGAACATTGAATTATTTATTACTGCTACGTACAATTTCCAGTAAAACACGTCAGCAGTATTTTCATCTTCATCCTGTCGAACACTGAAAGAAGTTTATCAGTAGGGCAACCTGAATTTGCAATTCACTGTCCATCTGAAATAGTGACAAGTTTATATCAGTCGATGTTTATCGCTGCAACAGCGACTATACATTCTCACCGCGAACTCGGCTGTCTCAGCAAATTGTTTTCACTAGTCATTGTCCAATCCAACGCATTTACGACTAGTTGACCTATATAGTAGGTCTTAACGAGGAAAGTTTTAATATAACTATAAAACAAGTTATTGATTTGTTGCTTGCTTGAGTAGTAGTTTGCAATTTCATGTGTTATTAACTTTGACGATGACACCCTGTGAGACACGTCCATAAGTAAAGGAACTTACATCGTCTTTTTCAATTGTTGCTCCAAATCTTAGATCAGAAACCGAAAATCATCAAGAGTAGTTTCTTACTGCCTTTCGTATAAAATGCCACGTCGTCACAATGCGAGGTCTTGCATATGACGACGGTTTAAATGTATAGAAGATTGAAGCATTGCATGACGTTTCGACAGTTTCTTCTATACCAGAGTGATTGCTTGTAAAATAGTCCAGAATAGCCAACTCTTTATTTAATTGCAATTTATTATTTCATTAATTATTATAAATCACCGCGGTTTGTGTGCGGCCAACGGCAGACAGCTGATGCATTCTAAGTTGAGGCTGTGTCGTTCCAATATTATAGTACTCATCTGTTGTGCATGTGTTGCAAGCGATTAAATGGCCACCTAGATGTATCAAACGGTCCGCCATTCGTTTGAAATTGACTCTGTCCGCACCACTAAACACAAAACGGCTCAGGGCATCTCAAGAGGGACCGCCGTTGAAAATGGTTGCACTTACGCTCTAAGCCGCAGACCGTCTCCAAATTACAATTCTATTTTGGCAACTTTTGTTGAAGAGGCGCATTTCTAGTCTTCAACTTCGACAGTATAGGATTGTTCTGTAGCTGATCCTATCAATTTATTAAGCATGCCTTCGGCAGGAAAATTTGCAGTTAAGTGAGTCTC